ATGGTTGTAAGTGTGACAAAATGTCATAAGTCACTTTCCTCACTGTCATCGTAGCTTTGAACTGTCACTAAACAAACTGATGTAAGTTGAAGACTACCTAGAGAAACAATCTGATATTCTGGGCCACAGGATCCCCGACTGAGTCTTCGCCCCATCCCCACTCTTACTCAGAGTTTAATGCCCTGTTACATTTCGCTTGTATCTTGTGCGGATCGTATCTCTGATCTCAACATGGACCAGCCTTATAGATTCATATTTCAACTACGGCTATCCAAAGGCTGCAACTCTTCGGCCACCAGCAGATGGCGGAAAAGGATTGATATTCAGAGGCTATTCAATGGAAAGAAGAGGGGTTTGAAGAAGGAAAGGAAAGGGAAGTGGGAAGGGAAGGGAAGGGAAGGGGAAGGGAAGGGAAGGAAAGGAAAGGAAAGGAAAGGAAAGGAAAGGAAAGGAAAGGAAAGGAAAGGAAAGGAAAGGAAAAAAGAAGAGAGAGAAAGTAAGAAAGGAAAAGGAAGAATGAATGGAAAGAGGGAGGGAGGGAAAGTAAGAAAGAAAAGAAAAGAAAGTGAAAGGAGGGGGGGGGAGGGGAGGAAAGGAAAGGAAGAGAGAGAAAGTAAGAAGGAAAGGGAAGGAAAGAAAAGAAAAGAAAAAAAGGAGGGACGGAGGGTGAGGAAAGGAAAGGAAAGAGAGAAAGTAAGAAAGGAAAAGCAGGAAGGAAGGAAGGAAAGGAAAAGAAAGAGGAAGAGGAAGAAAGAAAGAAAAGGAAAGGAAAGGAAAGAAAAAGGAGGGAGGGAGGGGTAGGAAAGAAAAGGAAAAAGAAAGGAAAGGGGGAGGAGAGAAATTAGGAAAGAAAAGAAAAAGGAAGGAAGGAAGGAAGGCTATTCAAGGGAAGAAGGAGGGTTGAAGAAGGAAAGGAAAGGAAAGGAAAGGAAAGGAAAGGAAAGGAAAGGAAAGGAAAGGAAAGGAAAAGCAGGCAGGCAAGCAGGCAGGCAGGCAGGAAGGAAGGAAGGGAAAGGAAAGGTAAGACGGAGCGTAAGAAAGAAAAGAAAAGAAATCCCCTTCTTAATCAGAGTTTAAATGCCCTGTTACCTCTCGCTTGTAACTTGTGGGACCGTATCTGTGATCTCAATATGGACTAGCCTTATAGATTCATATTTCAACTACGGCTATCCAAAGGCTGCAACTCTTCGGGCCACCAGCAGATGGCGGAAAAGGATTGATATTCAGAGGCTATTCAAGGGAAGGAAGGGGGGTTGAATACAGAAAGGGAAGGGAAGGAAGGGAAGGGAAGGGAAGGAAGAGAAAGGAAAGTAAGAAGGGAAAGCAGAAACAAGGGAAAGGAAAGAGGGAGAAAATAAAAAATGAAAAGAAAAAGGAAGGAGGGACGAAGGGACGGAGGGACGGAAGGGGAGGAAAGGAAAAGAAGAGAGAGAAAGGAAGAAAGGAAAAGCAGGAAGGGATGGAGGGAGGGAAAGGAAAGAGGGACAGTAAGTAAGAAAGAAAAGAAAGAGGGAGGGAGGGGGAGGAGGAAAAGAGAGAAGAGAGAGAAAGGAAGAAAAGAAAAGCAAGAAGGAAGGGAAAGGAAAGAGGGAGAGAAAGTAGGAAAGAAAAGAAAAAAGGAGGGCGGGTGGTGGAGGAAAAGAGAGGAAGAGAGAAAGGAAGAAAAGAAAAGCAAGAAGGAAGGGAAAGGAAAGAGGGAGAGAAAGTAAGAAAGAAAAGAAAATAAAAAGGAGGGAGGGAGGGAGGAACAGACGGATGGAGGGGGAGGAAAGGAAACTAAAGGAAGAGAGAGAAAGTAAGAAGGAAAAGCAGGAAGGAAGGAAGGGAAAGAAAGGAAAGAGGGAGAGGAGAGAAGAGGAGATGAGAGGAGAGAAGAGATGAGAGAAGAGGGAATGGAATGGAATGCAGTGGAGTGGCATGAAATGGCATGGATTAGAATAGAATAGAACAGAACAGAACAGAATAGGGAAAAGAACAGAACAGAACAGGGAAAAGAAAAGAAAAGAAAAGAAAAGAAAAGAAAAGAAAAGAAAAGATTGAATGGAATGGAATGGAATGAATAGAATGGAATGGAATGCAATGGAATGGAGTGGAGTGGAGTGGCATGGCATGGCATAGAACAGAACAGAACAGAACAGAACAGAACAAACTTTATTGTCACTTTGATAGAACACTAATTGACATACATTAATGCAACCAAAAAGGGGGAGGGGCTTGGTCGTATCCCCACCCCCACCCACCCACCACCCACTTCCCTCCATTCTGATTTTCCTCTGACTGCCTCACCTCTGTAAGGAAAACAATCGAAGCTGTTTCCTCTCAGGGGTTTCAGAGGTAAGAAAAAGGGTTTTGTGTTTTGTTTCGTTTTTTTTGTTGTTGTTTATTTAAGATACTCTCAAGCAGAAACTGCATCATTTGAAGGGTTTCAACAGAAGGAATTTTAGCCACAGCAGAGTGGCGCAGCGGAAGCGTGCTGGCCCATAACCCAGAGGTCGATGGATCGAAACCATCCTCTGCTAACAATTTTTTTTTTTTTGTCCCCCATCCTTAGATCCAGGGTTTCTTTTTATTATTATTATTATTTTGTTTGCCACTCATTCTCTAAAACATTACAGTTTTAGCCTTTCAATTCCCTTGCTGAACACTCCACTCATCAAAGAGATGAAGTCCACCTGTTTGTAAAACATCACTGGGGCCGGAGAATTGCAGCGAGGGCTGTTTATTCTTGCGATCTGCCCCGGCTAAAGCGTGTTTTTTTTTTTGTTTTTTTTTTTAAAAAGCTATTTAAAAAGAGGGCTACTATTTTTTAAAAAAGCAAAGCAAAAGCTGCTCGCCCAACGTGGGGCTCGAACCCACGACCCTGAGATTAAGAGTCTCATGCTCTACCGACTGAGCTAGCCGGGCAGTTATAAAGCTTTGCCGTTTACGTAGCTTTACTCCACACGAGATGCGTTGGTCAGTGCATTGTAATGAGAAAGCCAATGGGGAGAGGAGAGGAGAGGAGATATGGAATGGAATAGGGAATAGAATAAAATAGAATGGGATGGGATGGGATTAGAATTAGAATAATAGAATAGAATAGAATAGAATAGAATAGAATAGAATAGAATAGAATAGAATAGAATAGAATAGAATAGAAAATATGGAATGGGATGGGATGGGATGGGATTAGAATTAGAAGAATGGAATGGAATGGAATGGAAGGGAAGGGAAGGGAAGGGAATAGAATAGAATAGAATAGAATAGAATAGAATAGAATAGAATAGAATAGAATAGAATAGAATAGAAATAGAATAGAAAATATGGGATGGGATGGGATGGGATAGAATAGAATTAGAATTAGAATTAGAATAATAGAATGGAATAGAATAGAATAGAATAGAATAAATAGAATAGAATAGAATAGAATAGAATAGAATAGAATAGAATAGAATAGAATAGAAATAGAAAATAATGGATGGGATGGGATGGGATAGAATAGAATTAGAATTAGAATAATAGATTGGATGGAAATGGATGGGATTGGAGGAATAGGGAATAGAATAGAATAGAATAAATAATAGAATAGAATAGAATAGAATAGAATAGAATAGAAATAGAAAATTGGATGGATGGGATATGGAATTAGAATTAAATTAGAATAATAGAATGGAATAGAAATAGAATAGAATAGAATAGAATAGAATAGAATAGAATAGAATAGAATAGAAAATATGGGATGGGATGGGATGGGATAGATAGAATAGAATTAGAATTAGATTGGATTGGAATGGAATGGAATGAAATTGAATGGAATGGAATAGAATAGAAATAGAATAGAATAGAATAGAATAGAATAGAATAGAATAGAATAAAAATATGGAATGGAAATGAATTATTTTTGATCTGGTTTTATATGCCTCAGTGTCGTAAGGAGAATAAAATACAATCAAGAATAAAAAACAGAACACTTCGATAGCACGACAAGGCTACTAATAGTCTATTATCTAAATCAAAACTTATTATCGGGTTATCTAAAGGAAGTGGCTGCATCTTATTTTTCACACTATTTGCAGCCAAATTGCAAAACCTGCACAAGGTCCCAATAAGTCTCTCTCTCTCCCCCCCTCTCCCTCTCCCTCCCTCCCTCTCCCTCTCCCTCTCCCTCCCTCCCTCCCTCTCCCTCCCCTCCCTCTCTCTCTCCCTCTCTCCTCCTCCCTCTCCTCTGACTCCCTCCTCCCTCTCCCTCTCCCTCTCCCTCTCCCCCTCCCTCCCTCCCCTCCCCTCTCTCTCGCTCTCTCTCTCCCTCCCTCTCCTCCCCTCTCCCTCCCTCCCTCTCCCTCCCTCTCCCTCTCCCTCCCTCACTCCCCCTCCCTCTCCCTCTCCCTCTCCTCTCTCTCTCTCTCTCTCCCTCCCCCTCCCTCTCCCCCTCTCTCTCTGACTCCCTCCCTCCCTCCCCCTCTCCCTCCCTCTCTCCCTCCCTCTCCCTCTCCCTCTCTCTCTCTGACTCCCTCCCTCCCACTCTCCCTCCCCCTCCCTCTCCTCTCTTTCTCTCTCTCTCTGACTCCCTCCCTCCCTCTCCCTCTCCCTCTCTCTCTCCCTCCCCCTCCCTCTCTCTCTCTCTGACTTCCTCCCTCCCTCTCCCTCTCCCTCTCTCTCTCCCTCTCCCTCTCTCTCTCCCTCCCTCCTCCCCCCCTCTCCTCTCTCTCTCTCCCTCCCCCTCCCTCTCTCTGACTCCCTCCCTCCCTCTCTCTCCCTCTCCCTCTCTCTCCCTCCTCCCTCTCTCCCTCTCTCTCCCTCCCCCTCTCCCTCTCCCTCCCTCTCCCTCTCTCTCTCTCTGACTCCCAGCAACCTCTTCCTACCCCCCGCCCCTTAAATCCAAAACCTGCAAAACTCCCTTTAGAAGCCTCGACCTGTGTCCTGCAATTTCCCCCCAGTGAGATATTTTATTTCACTTTTTTTTAAACGCTGCTAAAATAAATTCTCTCTTCCCTCCACCCTTCCCTTAAAAGGAAAAAACTCTGCCTCTCTGAGGCTCGAACTCAGGACCTTCAGATTATGAGACTGACGCGCTGCCTACTGCGCTAAGAAGGCACACGGCGTAGAGTTGCGACATCTTTCAACTGGAAGGTATGTTCTGTTTTGGAAGCAAGAGCTAATTGGGTTAAGCCGCTTTCAGAAGTAGGTTCATTCGTCTCTCTGAGATCCTCTGCGTTGATGTTCTTTATTTCTCAGCTTTTCCACTCCCAAATGACTTTGCATTGATTTATATTTGGAAGTTCCTGTCCTTTTTACTGTTTTGTGTGCAGCCCAGTTGTTGGAGGCAATTGACAGAGATTGACAGAGTTGGAAGGGACCTTGTAGGACCTTGTAGGTCAGGGTTTCTCAACCTTGGTAGCTTGAAGATGGGTGGACTTCAACTCCCAGAATCCCCCAGCCAGCGCTGCTGGCTGGGGGATTCTGGGAGTTGAAGTCCACCCATCTTCAAGCTACCAAGGTTGAGAAACACTGTTGTAGGTCATCTAGTCCAACCCCCCACACCAAGCAGGAGACCCTGCCTACACCATTTCTGACACATGGCAGTCCAGTCTCTTCTTGAAAGCTTCCAGTGATGAAGCTTTCACAACTTCTGAAGGAAACTTCTGTGCCATTGGTTGATGCTCTCGTGGTCAGAAAATTTCTCCTTATTTCCAGTTGAATCTCTCCTTGATCAGTTTTCCATCCATGATTTCTTGTCTGGCCTTCGGGTGCTTTGGAAAATAGCTCGACCCCCCTCCTCTCTGTAGCAGCCCCTCATTGGAAGACTGCTATCATGTCTCCCCTGGTCCTTCTCTTCATTAGACTAGCCATGCCCAGTTCCTGCAACTATTCTTTATATATTTTGGTCTCCAGTCTCCTAATCATCTTGGTTGCTCTTCTCTGCACTTTTTCTAGAGTCTCAACATCTTTTTTTATAGTGTGGTGACCAAAACTGGATACGGTACTCTAGGTGTGGTCTTACTAGGACTTAGGCTTGCAAGTGTCCACAATTTGAGCGGACAGTCCGCTTTTTTCACATTATGTTCACTATTTTTTTTCACAAAAATAGTGGACATTTTTTTTTATTCAAAAGCTTTATGATGAAATGGTACGTAATCTAAAGCTGTACAGTCTAAGAGAATAAGGATAGGAGAATCGCGTTTTGTCTTTTTTTTTCATAAGTTAGAATGAGACAAAGATCGAATATCCATTGAACTCGATTCTCCGAAAAAATTAATGATGAGATTAAAATAAAAATATATTATAAAATTATGTACAGTTCACATTTTTAAAATGTATTGTAGCTTGTGTCGACTGACCTAAAATGGCGTCGAGTGATGAGAGTGACAGCGGCGAGATTTCGAATTCTTTAAAGCGAAAGAGAGGGGTGTGCAAATGCACCAAAGTTTAGTTCATCTGCAGGGCGATTCATCCCTTGATAAGTGGACGTACTTTTTCAAGAAAGAGCCAGCTCCGAGTTTACTGAAACTGTTCCAGTATTGTGCATCAATTCCGGTATCAAATGCAAACGTTGAACGAATTTTCAGCGTCATGGCAAATTTGTGGACTGACGAACGTAACCGACTGCTTGTACCATCAGTTCGAAGTGAACTTTGTATATGTTTTAATATTTCTCAACGTTGTACTGAAATTAAAGAATTATTCCTTAAACACAAAGAATTGATCAAAGCTGCGCAGTCAAATAAAAAATACACCATTTCTGCGCACTCTAAGATCTTATTTATTAGAGTTTCTTCTGAGGGTATAAGTTTGTTTTTCCACCATTTTGCGAAGGCTAATCTAGCCGCAGTTATAATCTGGATTATCAGTTGGGTTTTGTTATTGTTTAAGAAATGGCGAAACTGACAAGCGAGTTAAAAAACGAGGACAACTCAAGATATTATGATGTATGGGGTATTTGGTACCACTGGCTTAAAAATAAGATGAAAACATGACTTTAGAATTTTGACCTGGCACATCTACTATAGTCATATTGTATAGTATCATGTATAGTTAAGATTGAAGCCTTATTTTTCCCAATTTTTGTTTTATTATATTGTAAATACACTGTACCTCCGAAAGCAGAGATGGATTGTACATTTTTTTTTTTGGAAAAATCAATAAAAAATTAAAAAAAAAATACACACAACAGCAAAGTAAAATGTAATTTAATATTTTACATATTATTATAATATATTTGATGTTTTGAATTTTAAATAAAGTTTTGAAGTGATTATTTTAATACGTGTTAAAATGTTTGTAAGAAAATATATAATTTAATTGTAAAAAATTTTTTTTATTTTTTTACTACTTAACACAACACCACCACCCCCGCTTGTCCGCTATTTTTTGGAACAAGACCTGGCAATCCTACTAGGGGTTTATAGAGTGGTATTAGTACCTCCCTTGATCTTGATTGTATCCCTCTGTTAATGCAATTTAGGATTGCATTGGCTTTTTTGGCTGCCACCGCACACTGCTGGCTCATATTTAGCTGGTTATCCAGTAAAGACTCCAAGATCCCTCTCACAGTTAGTGCTATTAAGCCTGGTTTCACCCAGTCTATATGTGTACTTTTGTTTTTTCTTGCCTAAGTGTAAGACTTTACTTTTCTCCACATTGAATTTCATTTTGTTAGAGAAGGCTCAGTGTTCAAATCTGACAAGATCCATCTGGATGTTGGATCTACATCATCTAGGCAAGTGATGGCTAACCTTTTTGCCATCGCGTGCCAGAAAGAGGGGGGGCAGGGGAGGTTCACACACATGTCCACACCCATAATTCTATGTGCCCCGCCCTGCGCATGCTCGCGCGACCCCCCTCCCCCCCACTCCTGGCACACAATGGCCCAGTAGGCCCATTTTTCTTTCTCACCTGGCTCCAAATCCTCTCTATGCATCTGGGGAGGGTGAAAACAGCCTTCCCCACCCCCTTGAAGGCCCTCTGGAGGCCCGAAATGGCCCGTTTTCCAACTTTCAGTTGGACAGGAAGTAATGTTTTTTGCTGTCCCCAGCTTCCAGAGACTCCTAGAGAGAGCTGAGCTGGCGTGCCAGGCGACATGGCTCCACGTGCCGCCTGTGGCACACGTGCCATAGGTTCACCATCACAGATCTAGGGTATTGGCTATTCTTGCCAGTTTACATAAATCTGGTAAGTTCCCCTTCTATTCCCTCATCTAAGTCATCAATTACAGAAGTCTTTTTTTTTTAAATCAGGGGCAAAGAGGAATTGGAAGGATGAAATTAGGAGTCAACCCAAAACTGTGATGCAAAAGACCTTAAGTTTGAACCCAGAGTGTGCAAAGCCCTAATTCTCTGGAAAGGGTTCTAATGAAGGGGAAAAGAAGAAAAGAAAAAAAGGGAAGAGAAGGAAGGAAGGGAGAAAAGAGAAAAGGACGATCAGTAAGTAGCAACATCAATAGCCTGGTTTAGCTCAACAGACAGAAGCACTGTAATTTAACACCAGCTGTCTGCAATTAAAGTAAGATCGAATCTCGCCAGGCTCAAGGTTGACTCAGCCTTCCATCCTTTCTAAGGTAGGTAAATTGAGGAGCCAGTTTGTGGGGGCAATAAGCTGACTTTGTATAAAGTACGAAGGCTCTTGCTTAACGCACTGTAAGCCGCCCTGAGTCTCCAGAGAAGGGCAGCATATAAATCAAATTAATATATATATATATAAATGAATTTAGAATAATATAATTTTATTGTCATTTTGGATGTACACTAATTGGCATACATTAAAATAAAAAATTAGCTCTGGAAGGGTCTCCACCTCCAATATACACTACATAAACATAAACAAACAAACAAACAAATAAATAAATAAATACAAAATTATGCATATACCCATATATATTATATGACACAGTCTAGAATGCCGTTGAGAGATTTGAAAGAACAAATTAAAGTCCGTTTGTCTTGGATAAAATCAGGGGTGAAATCCAGCAGGTTCTGACAGGTTCTGGAGAACCAGTGGAGGAAATTTTGAGCAGTTCGGAGAACCGGCAGCGGAAATTTTGAGTTCAGAGAACTGGTAAACACCACCTCTGGCTGGCCCGAGAGTGGGGTGGGAATGGAGATTTTGCAGTGTCCTTCCCCTGCAACGCCCACCAAGCGATACCACACCCACCAAGCCACACCCACAGAACCAGTAGTAAAAAAAAAATTAGATTTCACCACTGAATAAAATCCACCAAGGCATTCTTTAACGAACTGAAAACAATTTGATAGCACATTATCAATATTTTCTTTATTGAATTTATTTGCCACTCATCTCATTTCGAAAAGACTCAGGAGCTATAGCTTATCTCATAACAAAGAAATAATTTTAAAATGTCAATCAAAAGAATCGGAAATACAAGTCCACCCGCACCCTGGGAACTTTTGGCCCGGTCGTGTCCCAGCTGTAGGAAGTTAGCACCCACCCCTTTCCTGGAAGAGTGAAATATTTTAGGAAATATGAAAAAGGCAGAATATTATATTTCCCTGGATGAGAAATGGAGAAGCATATTTTAAAGCAGCTCCCATCTTCCTGCCCCCACCCTTTGTCAATGGGCCATTAAGGCCTGGGCCAGTCTATTCTACATAACAAAGATCTACCTCCTTCAGGCAGAGCCATAGTAGGAATTGCCAAAGATCCAACAAAGATAGGATTAGCCCTCTACACAATAGCAGCAGAAACTCACCACATGGCACCTGGGAAGATTACATCAGCCAGCAAGGCTAACTAAGACCTCCACGCCCTGGGAGTCTGACAACCAATCAGGATACTGTTTCGGGGCCCCAGGAAATGCAGAGCCAGAGAGAGCATAAAAACCCGAGGATTTGCTGTATCTGCCCCTTTTCTGTTCAGGAACTCAAGCCATGTGATCCTGTCCACCATTAAACCATCTTTCCAAGCAGTCTCCATGTTTCCAGTGTCTTTTTCCCCACTTGGAGCAGAACCTAGAAGGAGATTTCTTCCAACACAGCCTAGCCTACCTAACAGGGTTGTTGGCAGCAAGCACGAGAAATAGAGGAATGCTACTTATCTCCTGCATCAGGCTCTTGGCTTTAAAACAATACCTTTAACCAAATC